TAACCCCTCAAAAGACTGGATTTGGAGCTGTGGCTTAACAGTGGTAAAAGCACTTACCTTTATCAAAGGAGCTCAGGGATAGTGCTCAGGCCCTGAATGCAAGCCCCAAAAACTGATAAAAGAAAAGGATAGTTTTATAGAAGAAAGAAAAATATATTTTAGTAAAATATATCTGTTATCTTCTCAATTGGATTTAGATTCTGAGAACATAGTCAGTCTATTTAATGCTGCTTGGCAAAAAACAAAACACTTTATTCACATACAGAATTTTACTTAATGATTTGAGGTGGTAGTAGAATTATGAGTGCTTAAATCTGAAAAACAATCTCTATCATAAATTAATCAGCCTAATAAAAGGAAAGCAATTTGTAATGTTACTGAAAACAATATATCCACAGCAACTTTCTGGGTAGTTATGATAGGATAAGAGGTAATAGGATAATTGCTAATATCAACATAAACTAAGGGCCCAATGACGCGAATGGATGCTGTTTCCACTTTAAATATTATTTTCTGTGAAATGTAAGTTCTTCATGTAATAGGAAAAATACTAGGCTACACCATTTGTAGAGACAATATATAGGAAGATAGGTGATATGTATTGGATAAAGAATTTCTTCACTGCTACAGTTTTGGTATACAATGTCTCCCATAGCATATATGTGGAAGGCTTAGCTTTTAGCCCGTGGTAGTAGGTGGACCAGTGTGGAATCACTGGAAGAATGGGCCTGTGGAAGGAAATTATGCCATTGGGGTACAAGAGCACATTTCTCTATTCCTGTATCTCTTTGGTTTATTTTCCTTGACTTGAACAAGCCTTCTAAACATGATTTGTTCAAAATATACTACCCCATCATAGGTCCAATAGCAGTAGAACTGGACATAGCCAGAATAATGCCTGTGAAAAATGTCACTCAAAACACAACATTCACACTGGGGGCAAGGGCTTTTTTCTGTAATTCAAAATATTCAGGAGGCTGAAATCTGAGGATTGCAATTAGAAAACAGAAGACAGGCAAGTTCTTGAGACACTAATCTACAATTAAAAACCAAAAACTGGAAGTGAAGCTGGTTCAAGTGACCAGGCCCCGAGTTCATGCCCCAGGACTGACCAAAACAAAAGAAAAATAAACAACAAAACTATTTTCCTCTCTAGAAATTGTTTATTTCAGGTATTTTTGGAACAGTAATTCATGACTAACACTCTGACTTTACCGAATATATACACAATCCTGGAACTATTTTATGAATTTTTTTTGACTTGCTAAATGAAAATCTGACATCCTAACTCTGAGTATGCAGTGGAAATGCACAAAACATATGAAGGACATTCCAACTGATCATGCAAGATTGCATGTTAAAGTGACAGAGTGCACAAATTAAAGGACAGGTGAAGCAAAGCAATTCTCAGAGTTTGAGACTCAGTGACCAGAAGCTTTTAAGAGCTTGGGGTTTGATTGGCAAATAGGCTATGCTCAAACCAAAGGAAGTAGATACATGGATATACTGTGGGGTAAAATGCTTGGGAGTTATCAGGCATTTCGGAAAAGCATTTCTGTTGGCGTTAATATTTGTGCACCATGTCTAGCAGTAGGATACTTCGGCATCAGCAGTCAAATCAGGTTATCCAGAAGGAATGTTTTAAGGTTCCTTGAAGCACAAATTCCAATGACACAGCACAATCATGCACTGTAGGTGAGCAGCAGCTGCATTCCAGCTTCCAGGCAGATTCACATATGGCCCTTATCAAGATCTGCTATCAGACCCATTTGCTTGGCCCCATGAAATGATGGTGTCACAAAAGAAGCAGACGTAGCTCCCGAGCTAACAAGGCTAAGAGCAAAGTTCAACCAGAAGCAAAGTTGATTAATTTTCCTCTCTATACTCATGCTCTTTTATATAATACCCATTAATTTTTTTTTGGCCTTTATGCTAGTTGTACTCTATTTGTAATTCTTCTAGGAACAAAAATGTTTTAATTAGCATGCCACAACCACGGCTAAGCCACTTTTTTTATTGGTCTGGATATTTTTTTAATGCTTTGTCTACTGTTTTAATTCTGTGGTCTGATTATTCCAAATAACACTTCTCAAGGCATTTTTCCAGAGTGTGAATTGAAGTGTATGCTCTTGTAGTGAAATAAAACACTTCATTTTCTCCTTTGCAGAGTTGAGAGTGACTGTTGATACTTTTCGAAGTAAATATTTGGAAATAGAGCATTGTAGGCATTTGAGAAAGTGACATTTAAAAACATAATGAGAATGGAAACATTTGCACATTTATATTGTATAATTTTTGAAAACAAAATTGTAATGAAACAGATGTATTTGTACTCAACATACTAGTAATTATTCTTACAGAACTAAGGATTTATGTGTTATTTTAGGACTGCTTTATCTGTGAGAAACTCAAAAGGTACGTAAGTTTTCTTTACTGTGGATTTCATTCCAATGGGTCTTGGTTATCAATTCTGTACAAAGTAGTCACAGTGATATTGTCAAAAATTACATGAGATTTTATTCTTCTACTTAGTAAATACCCTGACTTACTATTACTTCTCACATAAGACTTAACAAAGACTTGCCCTATTAATTCTATGAAGCCAAGTCTTTAGATTGTTTCTCCTCCATGTTATTTTATTTTCCTTCTTTGAAATTAATAACTTCAAGCAAATGGCATAATGAACTCATACTTAATTTTTATTTCTTAAGTAGAAAAGGTTTATTCAGTTTAAGAGCACAAAATATAAGTTTTCACTATATTCAGAAAGAACAGTGACTTTATTTAAATACATAGGCATAACAATGAGAAATGTATATTTGTGAATTCTGGAATCATGGAAACATTATTTTCTGATGTCTCATAAAATTATAATCTGATGTCTCATAAAATTATAATCTGATCATCTATATGACTTGGGACAGAAAATTATAGACCAATTCAGTACAGAGAGTATACAACCTTGATCCTAGATTTAAGGGGAGTTATGAACCTTTATCTAGGCAGTACAAGTCTGGCCCTGGTGAAAGACATCATTAGTATCTTTAGACCAAGATATTTAAATTTGCCTAGTCCTAACCAAATTTCCTACCAAGTTAGGCAATACTATTATTGTTTATATATTTAGGCTGAAGATTAATCAAGTGAATGAATGCTAAATGATTTAGAACTTGTAATACTGTAAAGCTTTCAGTATATTTTTTTCACTGTGATTCTTTATACAAGCACTAACTTATATACTCCTTTTTGAACACGTTTTAATACCCTTCTTGTAGAGATCAGTCCAACCTGCATATGTATTGGGTGAGATATATTAACACATATAACTATTCTTCGAAGAACTAGATTTGATTTGCCATAATGTTATCTCCTCTAAGGAAGTATTGCCATAAGATGCAAAATCAGAGTTAAAAGAATAATAATTATGTAATTAATGCTAAAAAGCCAATGATAAGTCTCTCAAATATTTTAACTTACCTAAAATTCAGAATAGTGAGGCTAATAACATAACTCCCAACCCCCACACAACCCAGGAAAATGACACATGCAATATATTTTTAGATTACATATCTAAATACCTAATGTGTTAAATCACAATATAATTTACTAAGTGATAGTATTTACTATTAAAGAGTAGCTTGTGGAGTTTATATTTTTTAAATATATTGAACTCATCAAATTACTATGTGATTTACAAATAAAACTTCAATAGCTGACTATTCTCAGAAACATTCATTGAATATTTTAAGAAACATTTGTAATTGTTTTACAGGACTAAGCAAGAGACCCTGAATTGGTTGGACATTGAACCTAATGGTCATTTGCTTTATGACTTTATACCCAATTTCCCAAATCAAGTGAATGCCTTTGACACACAGGCAAAGATTTGCTGCAATCTCATTTCTATTTCAGTGGGTCTTAAAAAGTAATCCTTGTTCACATAAGCTCTATTAATTTTCTTTGACCCATGCAATTATTGCACAAAGCTGCCATTCTATAGCTGGAGACTCACATCATGATTACCAGCAAATATCACTTTGATCATAACATGTACTTTAATAGATCAGAACACTAAAGCCAGAATCCATGCTGTCAGCAAGAAACACACCATATGGAGTTGAATTGCTCAAACTATTACCTTATTGAGCTTAACAAGTTGTTGTTGAATATAAGAGGGAAATCAACAGACTGGAATCAACAGCAGGCAAAATTCTGGAAAAAAATCATTTAAAGCCTGATTTTTTGACTGAAAACAGTTAAATCACAACTGTTATAAGTTTTTTAAAATTAGAAACAGTAGTTTAAATAATGGACATTTCAGGTTTTTTTTTTCAGCAACCAGAAACATCCAATGACACCTAGAAACCTACACTGAAGTGCTATGGATGGTTGGTATTTATATATCTGAGAAATCACCCCGCCCCCAATCCCTTTTTATGCCTATGACACATGAATTCACAATATTCTATGTCTAATGGCAGAAATTTATTCTTAATTTATAAAATATATGCATCACCAGGTATATATATATAAATATATATATATATATGTCCTAAATGACATAACATACCATTTTTCATCACTAATTATACCATTTATAGTCACTAGTTCAATGAAAAATATTTTTTCTTTTCTTTTCTATTGTGTCTTGTTCCTTTTCTACTTTGGATCTATAGATAGAAGCAAACTGATTTCCTGAGAGCAGAATAAAATGATAGAGGTATAAAGATAGAGACATTCATATAGGTGCCGTGACCTCTGGAGTAACTACTTTGCTCTATTAATTTGAAATATAAAAGGAGCTATGTTACCAAGAAAACATTTTGGGCCCAAATTAACTGACTATGAGATCACGTCCTTACAGTTGACAAGGAGCACGTAAAAAAGGACGAAAGGAGGGCGAGGAGAAGACATAGACGTTACCCTTGGCCTAGAGCGTCTAAGTGCAGGGGAGTGGAAGGCGGGTAAAGGGAACCCCAGGATTGGCTGCTGGCGGTATCATGGTGCCCCGGAAACCTCCCGAAGAGGATGAAGGGGAAGACGACGCTTATGAACTGCTGGATTTGACGGAGTGTGTGCCAAGGCGCAGCTGGTGGAATCGAGTGTTTGGCCACCGTTCAGGACCAATGGTAGACAAATACTCGGTGGCCACTAGGATTGTCCTGGGTGGTGTGACGGGCTGGTGTGCAGGATTTTTATTCCAGAAGGTTGGAAAGCTTGCAGCCACCGCAGTGGGTGGTGGCTTTCTTCTCCTTCAGATCGCCAGCCACAGTGGCTATGTGCAGATCGACTGGAACAGAGTTGCCAAGGATGTCCACAAGGCGAGAAGGCAGATTAAGAAGCGAGCAAATAAGGCAGCACCGGAAGTCAACAATATAATTGGAGAAGCAACAGAGTTCCTTAAACAGAATATGGTGGTGTCCACTGGATTTGTGGGAGGATTTTTTATAGGCCTTGCGTCATGATGGTCCTCTTTAGTGAGATCCAGCTCTGAGAAGAATAATAGTGGTGACCACAGGATGATTTCTCTACAGTTTATGCCACCAGCGTCTCCCCAGCAAGGAGACATGTTCCATTAGACAACAACCACTCAGAACTTAGCATTTCATCAACTGAAGCCTAACTGACTAAAAATCTGCTGTAACAATCTGTGGTGGTATGGGAACAATATTATTCTTAAGGAAAACAAGCTGGCTTTTGTCATTTTTAACAAAAACATAAATTCACATCTGTTTGGAAACTAGCACACAAAACACGTCCATGAATGTCTAGACATATATACAGAGAAAATCTATTGGGTTTATTGCCCAATGAAATTTCACCATGTGTTTATTTTAGAAGATCTACCTTGGGCTTTATTTATCAGTTAGTGTCAAGTAAAATGTGTCATTATATAGCTTGTATATTAGGGCTATTCTTAAAAGATATTCACAATAAACAAAAGGACTATAGTTCTCTTTTGTGTAAGGACTTAGAAATAATAGAACATCAATCTACAGATGCACTGTAACAGCAAAGTTTAGAGACTGTTTATTTCTTATATTACTACTTTGCTTCTATAATAACTACATTTAAATAAAGGTTCACTTTATGAAATACTTCAAAGGGTCAAAAGCCTATATACATATAGATATATGTATATATGTGTGTGTGTAGTTTTAAAATATCTTTGTACTTTTGTTTCTAGAGTAATTATGTGTTGAGTGTATGCAGTTGGTTATTATTAATTTACTTTGTTCACCTCAAACACATCATGTTTTACATTTCCAGAAATATTTGCCAACTGAAGCTTAGCAAAATAGTTTCTGTTGAAACCAGTAAAATATGGGAACAATAGTATTCTTGAACAAAACATAACTTTTGTCACTTTTTCTTTTAAAATATGCATGTATTTAGCAACTGTAAGAAGAAAAAAATTAAAATACTTAGCACTATAGCATAAATTTAATGGTTTTATATGTAATTTTGTATTGTAGGTTGTTGAGCATTTGTCTCTTTAATCTCATCTGAAAGGTAAGGACACATTTTTGGTAGGATTGTGTTTATTGAATAGTAGAGTAGTTTGCTGATTTCTCAAGGTCATTATCAAATTCCCAAAGAGGCTCTTTAGCACCCATTATCTACTGTATTTTTAGTTTTATACACATAATTCTAGGTTAGAAATGGGACAATTAGTGGAATAATGTAGGTTAAAGTCATCAGAGTTTAGAATTGAAGATATTTAGATGATCGTCTTTAGATACAATATATTTTCTAACATGACATAAAATATTCTGATGTAAAGAATTATGCAATAATATAAGAGATATGATATAAATACATAGTAAAGACAAATCACATGTAACACAATAATATAGATAGTGCATATACTGAATAACTGTGTTTCCAATAAATCATCAGAAAAGTATTACCACATCTATAATGAGCTCATGATAACATATTCAATTTGTTTTAGAAATTTTAGAAATATTTTCATTAAAAATCTTCAAACAAGAAATGGTCTCACTTTACCAGTTTATCACACAATTAATTTAATCTTTCTGCTGTTTATGGATTTGTAACATTATACTGCTATTCCAGGTACGAAAAGGCATGAATTAGTCTAATGCCACACATCCAGTTAACCTATTCCATTCACATTTATTAGGAGTTACTATTTGTAGATGTATGTCGACATTACTAAGTGATGTTTCCTATTAAAATGAAGTCAATGTTTGAGTAATAAAGACAAATAAAGCAATGATTTAAGGCAATGTTGTAAAATCAGTTAAAAAGGATGAAGGAAAGACATCTGTTCATTTTGAGAAGTCAAGTTAATATGTCTCACCATTATGAGAAAGAGAATGAGTCAGGGCTGGGGGGGCAGGGGACACACCAGGAGAGTACAGTAAAAATCCAAATAACCTGGTTGACTTTTTGTGACAGTGTCTGTGACTTTGGTTTATTAGACTTCTATGTAAAGAGAGAAATGGACAGTATAAAGACAATATGGAAGATGGACTTGTATATAGTATTAAATAGGCATGATTCTATTCAACATTGAGTGGGAAACACATATATTATTTCTACATATGTGGAAAACACATATATTATTAGTGTATTGTTTTATATATTTCCTTAGAAAATAATAGACCCATACAGCTTTATTCGATAGTTAAAAGTAGTTTTGACAAGCTACTATGATAAAGATATTTAACAGATTCATGATTTTGGAAACTAAGAAATTCTAGACGTTTTAAATGTGTATCCAGAAGCAAAAAACCCCATTCATTTAACATGTATATATATAAATGTTAAATTATGTGCTATCTAGACCTTGAAGATGTATGCTGATATTTTAGGTCATACAGTAGCAAATAGTAAATGAATACTAACATTAAAATGGGACAGGACCAATATTTGTCCAATTTAGTCCAAGTTTTGAAGTGCTCATTTTATATGTTTTATGTATTAGATTTCCCTGCCAGTACTTAATAATTGCAGGACCTTGTGACAATTATGTAAGTATTTTATTATCTAAGACAGAGTAGAGGGAAAATATCTCTTTTATATTGAAACTTTTAGGCTAATTCATAAAATAATTACAAGGATTCAAAATTACTTCTCAGCTGTTAAAATATAACTTAAAAGTTTATTTAACATTTTAATAAGGATAATGCATTTCATAGGATTAAAACCTTCTTGTTACTGGTATTCATCTAAATATAGATTGGAAACTGAATAAATGATGTATGAAATATTGCATCCATGTTAACTAATAGTCCATAAACCTGATGTGCTTTCATTTGTGTTCTCTGTACAGTGTTCATGTGTCATAAAGCTTCCATAAAAGCAGTTTCTTTTGCAGTGATCTGACCTGGATCACAGGAAGCTCAAGAATGACAAACCCAGGATAGAGGCTAAAGAAACTTCAGCCCTAATCCACTACTCGGCATAGGGAGATATGCAGCTTTCAAAGAACTGACTAAATCTGTGGACGTGTATATAATGCAGGCTTATGGAATTGATCCTGTATAAAGGACAGGAATCCCGAGGACTCAGCACGCTCCCGATTTGTGTGCACTCTGTCCTATTTACAATTTCAGGGCCAGAGAGGAAATGGTGGAGTTTCCTCACCACTGGATTCATCCCATTAAACAAAAACAAGAGAAAAGAAAAAAAATGAAGTAAAATTAAACTTATTATTAAAGCACAGCTTGCTCAAATTTAATTTTTAAAAGTAGGCAATAATTTCAGGTAATGAGATTAGACTACTGCCCTGTAAAAAAATCAATGATTACATTTCTTACTTATGTAACTGTAATCCCTCTGTACATCATCTTGACTATAAAATTAAAATATAAATAAATAAATTTATGTCACAGAAATAAGTTTGGTAAACATAAATGCACAAATACTCTCTCTTACACATACACACACACAATGACCTTATGATCATATCTTTCTTCATTGTTTTTTTCATTTCATTACAATTAATATCCAGAGTGGATATAAATAGTTCAACTATACTAAGATCATAGCGTTTAATAATAAAATTTGAGTACCTGCCTATTACCTACCAAGTAACTTTGTATACATAGAGTTAATTAATATGCAATGAAAGTAGAGACATGAAGATATGTAGAATTAAACAAAATTGAAGTTACAGGTTTGTAATTGAAATACAGAAAACTCCAAAATACAGGAAATTTTGAGAGCCGGTATAACAAAAATATGGTACAGTCAAAGGGAAAGAACTCAAATCCCATTTCCATTGAACTTATGTGTATACCAATTTATCTCCTTAAAGTTTTGTCTCCAAAACTTTTCGTCACAATAATTGATAATGATGATTACATTTCTTGGCAGGACCAAGGGATCTTGACTTTGATATGCTCAGAAGGCTAGAATCTAGAAGATTTCAAACCAAGAGAGTGGAAAAATCTCTGAATTCAAACTTCAGTACAACCAAAATCAAAAAAGCAAAAACGAAAAACAAAACAGTAAAGTGATTACATTGTTAACTAAATGGTGTTTAGCCATATAAATACTTAATATTCTAGAATTTTTTTTTTGTTGTTGGTCGTGGGCCTTGAACTCTGGGCCTGAGCGCTGTCCCTCAGCTCTTCAGCTCAAGGCTAGCACACTACCACTTGAGCTACAGCGCCATTTATGGTTTTCTGGTGGTTTATTGGAGATAAGAGTTTCACGAACTTTCCTGCCTGGGCTGCTTTGAACCTCGATCCTCAGATCTCAGCCTCCTGAGTAGCTAGGATTACAAGTGTGAGCCACAGGTACCTGGTTAGAATATTTTCTTAATATAGAAGTCTCTCATTATTCCTGAAGATATGTGCCAAGACATTCAGTAAGTGCTTGAAATCACAGAAATTACCAAACCATACTGTTTTCTAATATAAGTATCAATAATAATGTTTTATTAACAGATTAAGCATAGAGGCTCACAACTATAACTAACAAGAAATATATCTGTTATGACAATTTATTTTAGTAAAACATGAATGTGATCTCTACTCAAAAGTATTTTGTACTACAAATTTGGGTATTAAGAATATAATTTTTTCTCTTTGTGTGTGTGTGTGTGTGTGTGTGTGCGTGTTTGGTGTGTTCATGTGTGTGTGCATGTGCACTTATTAGGAGGGCACAGGGAGAGCACAGAATCTGAGAAAAAAAAGGTAGAGAAGTGCAGCAATGGAGCACATTGGACCTAAGAATAAAACAAAAGCAGCAGTCTTCCTGACTTTCCTGCCTGGGCTAGCTTTCAATCCTGATCCTCAGATCTCAGCCTCCTGAGCAGCTAGAATTAGAAGCTTGAGCCACAGGTGCCTGGTTAGTTTTCTTTATAGGTTGAGAATTTTCATCTTTTTCATTGAATAAGACATGTTACAGTTTTCTTTTCTAGGTCATTATTAAATGAAATATAGGTTGTAGAAAGAAGTGTCTTGTTACTTAGACAACTGATACTGAG